TTCCCAAAGTAGTTGACTAGCAGAGAACAGCAGAGATGGATCCCAGGGTGTGACAGATATTAGTTAATTAGATTAAAATAGCCTGTATGCCTGCTGATAGCCTTACTAAGATACTTCCCTATAATAAGTATTAAGAATTTTGTAAGATAGTTGGCCTGGTTAACTAATCAGATGTTATAATTAACTAGGAGCCTTAACCTTAATCTTACCTTAATAGCTTACTTAAGCCTTACTTATGGCCTATAATTACCCTGCCTTCCTAATCAGGCAATTAAATTAATTCAGCTCGCCATATCTGCTGAGCTGGGGGGGTGTTTTGATATAGATTACTGCTTACCTAATTAGGCCTACAGCGTGGACCTTCCTGATTTTGATTAGATAGATTACGTTCCTTTAATGGCCGATAATCAGTTGATTACCCCTATCTAGATGCCCGCATCCGGCGGTATAAGATCTAGCTGGTCAGACAATAGATTAGAAAGTATTGTACCTTCCGAACTTTCTCATTAGTAGGCAAATTACTAGTGATTGAGTAATCTAAAACGGTTCCGCGATTTCCAACAAAGGTCATGAAGTAGATGCGCACGACGCTCGCGACGCAAACACTGCAAGTCTTAGCATAACCCCATGCGTTCACCAGGGACAGGGCAATTTACAATCCCCCCAATAAGAAGATACCGGACACCAGGATCTTCTGTGCCGTTCGCATCTGAAGTTTCCAGACCAGAGGGATGGGAACCATTAGGATTATACCATCCGTGGCCACGTTGGCCGCCGCATTGCCAATGTAGAAAGGGTACAGGTTGAAGATACATTTGCCCCCGCTGGGGTCCCGATACTGTGTCCAGTAATATGATAACGGTCGGCAACAGACGAGGAACGCAATAGTGCATGAGAACCAGTAGCCCACGGTCAAGAATGCACAAATCCACATCACCCCGTTCATGCCAAAAATGCGGCGGTAGAACAGGATGATAGAGAGTTTGATCAGTGGAATAGCAACGACATAGATAAGGACATATGCAAACAGAAGCTGTTGAATCAGCCCATTCGTCTCATCTATTGCACGAGTTTGACTGCCATACCTGCATCACGACGATCACATTGTCCAACTCGACCACCCAGACATGTTTCCCAAGGCCATAGTAGCCCCCTGAAATACGTTAACCTTCGAGCACCTGTCGCGGGGTCACTATAGAGTTGCATACCCACAATGGTGCAGACGAGATTCGCCGTGACGGGGATCTGTTTTCGCTCAGTATGCCCCAAAGACCTGTTGATTGACAGAGACGTACAAGTGCTAGACCAATCAACCAGTCATCTGCCAGGAGATTGGCATGCTGCACCTTTAGTCTCGCGGTGATTCGCAATGCAATCGCAATGATGGCGAGAATGTACAATGCGATGACCGTGGCATTGTTCTTGGGCGTGTGGTTTTCTTTGAGGTTTATGCCTGGGGAAGGCTCACCGAACGGGCTTGACATCGCAATTGAATGTGTCTGACAGTCAGAGGTCACGAATCTTCCTAGAGACTGAGGAGCACATTTCCCAATTGCGATGGATGAGCGAGGAACATGACGTCTCCCGCGAGATCGAAAAGATCTCCAAGGCGGAAAACAGGCATCACCAGAAATCTCGGAGTCTCTAGTGAGCCTGGATCAATATAATGTCTCCTATCTAACATCCTTGTATACTCTCCACTTCAATAATCAATTTGCAGGGATAAGAGTCGGTCCACATGATGTTCCTCCTGTCAACGCGCACGCCGTTCCAACACAACGATGTCTCCGACTGGACGGGGGTATCTAGCACACTTTAGGGCGCCATGGCACCATTAATACCAGGAACGGCTCAATATACATCCCTGCGGTGACAGGGATAAACCGGCTCAATGTACAGGACAGAACGCCGACTTGGAACCAGGAGGGAGATATCTTGATCTTTCGGCTCATTACCCCCTGGAAAGTGGACAGGGTATTGGCAACCCGTCGCCCAGCAGCTGTTCAGAGTTTCCACCTCGACAAGTAAACGGCTGTTAAAAGGAGCCACAACAACGGTCGCATACAATTCAACAGTATAGGTTGAGGAGTGCATACGGTACGTTGCACTGACCCATTCTAATATGTAACACTATCTAGAGCACTCCCTGTCTAGGCGAACTGTCAAACGATTATCCTATCTACTAAACCTACTAATCATGCAACTAGCTAAATAGCTCTAATTCTCCTCACAAGCTACTCGGTTAGTCACATTCGACGGTCCAGAGCAGAAATAGACAGGGCCCAGCAACTGGGCTTCCCGGAGCGACTGGTCTCGAGAGGGGTCGATGACCGACATATATCCCCTTAATCTACCCCGTGTCCGACCATGGTCGGGAAAACGTGACAAGTACCAGCAAAATGCCTTCAAATGAATCATTCTCAGTCGCAAACGGCCACAGCGAGAATGACTGGTCTGTTGACCCAAGTCAATTCGCCTTTACGCCCCGAAAGCTCAGGGTGGTTTGCATAGGCGCGGGCTTCTCGGGGTTGATACTGGCGTACAAGCTGAAGCACGAGAGACCAATGGACTTTGTCGATTATACTATTTACGAGAAGAATCCAGAGGTTGGAGGAACGTGGTACGAGAATATCTATCCCGGGGTTGGATGGTTAGTTCTTAGCTTTCTCTACGTTGAGACGATCCGCTGATGATTCTGGCAGTGACATTCCTGCCCGTAAGTTTTATTCCCACTCACTGCTTCTTGACCTAATACCAAATAGATAGCTATGTCTTCCCCTTTGAACCAAATCCTAATTGGTCCAAGTTCTATGCCAGCGGATCAGAGATCCAGGACTACATCGTCAACACGGCGGACAAGTACGGTCTCAGAGACAAAATCACATTCAACACAAAGCTTCTACAAGCGGTTTGGAACGAAAGGGATGGAAAGTGGAAACTCACGCTGGAGCAGGCAGGCTCGCTCATCGAGGACGTGGCCGATGTTGTCCTGGATGGTAGTGGCATCCTAAAGTGCGCAGCTATTCCTCCGGCTGGCAAGTATGAGGCTGACTCGGGACAGTCAATGGAAATGGCCCGATGTCGAGGGCCTGGATTTATTTCAAGGAAAACTCCTTCATAGTGCCCGATGGTAAGCGCTACGGTAGTTCGCTGGTGCTCTGTAGCTAACAATATAGGGATCCGGATTACGACTGGACGGGAAAGAGAATTGCCGTTATTGGCAACGGATCTTCTGCTCTGCAGATAGTTCCAGCACTCCAGCCAAAGGCTAACAAGATTGTCAACTACATCCGCCGCGCGACCTGGGTGTCCACGAATCTCTGCGGGAATCTGACCAAAGATGGCATGGGGACGAACTTCGAATTCACAGAGGAGGAAAAGCAGCAATTTAGAGAAGACCTTGTGGACTTTCTCAAGTACCGCAAGACAGTCGAGAACTCGTATGTCCGTCTTTGCAAATATCAAGCTTGAGCTAATATCCCCTCAGGGTCAACTCCGTTTTCCGACTCATGCTCTCCGGCTCCGAAGAGAACAGATTCCTGTTCAATCTCGTCGACAGCGTTATGCGAGCCCGGCTGTCCAAGGTCCCAGAGTTAGCCGACAAGCTCATTCCAAAGTATGAAATTGGATGCCGCCGTCTTAGCCCCGGAGACGGCTATCTCGAAGCACTGCAGGCCGACAACGCGGAGATCTGCTTCGACAGCATCCAACGCATTACCGAGACCGGTATTCAGACAGACAAAGGAGTTGAGGAGTTTGATCTGATCGTCTGTGCCACCGGATTCAACACGTCTTTCATTCCTCCCTGGGAGCTCGTCGGTCGAGACGGACGAAGTCTCGACGAGGAGTGGAAGGAGAAGCCCGAGGCGTACTTCTCTGTCTGCGCAGCCGGTATCCCGAACTACTTTATGTTTGCTGGCCCGAACTGCCCCATTGGCCATGGCTCTGTACCGCAGATGCTCGCCTGGACGGCCGACTATATGTTAGATTGGGTTCAAAAGATAGCAATCGAAGATATCAAGTATGTCAGTCCTTAGTCTACCAGGGCTTCTACTGATGTATCCAGATCGGTTGCCGTCAAAGACTCCGTCGTCCGTGATTACAACATCTACGCGCAGGAGAACCTTAAACGCGCGGTCTGGTCCAAGGGCTGCCATGCCTGGTACAGCAAGAAGAGCAAGGGAGAGGGCGTCACGGTCACGGCAATGTATCCAGGAAGTGTCTTGCACTACAAGGGTGAGTTGCTACTGCCTATTTACAGGAATGTGTTAACCATGTCACAGCTGTCCTGCGCACCATTCGCGGCGAACATTTTGACATCCGGTACAACACGACTAATCCGTTCCGGTATCTTGGAAATGGGGAGCTGGCTTGGGAGCGAGGAGAGGGAGCGGATCTGGCGTTTTACCTGAAGTAGACTGTACGAAGAGTACACTCTTCTGAGATGGTAAAGGAAAAGATTGATGAGTATGCTTAAGTGGCTCTTTCAAGTATGTGCCTTGAAGATGACGCTATGGGGCCAATGGCTGAATGCGACGACCGAAGAGGAGGTATCCCAACTGTACTAGGTTCCTATTCTACCATTCAATTACTCATGCAAATGATTAAAGTGCAGGACTTCTTAGCAATCACCTCAAGACCGTATCTTACATTCGGGTCTCTTCAAAAGGTTGGAGGCTGCCTAAGGCACATCCTTTGCCATGTGACGTTATTGCGTCTCGTGGCCTTCCTCGTTCTTATCCTCCTCCACCATCTTGCCAATCTGGTCACTCCTTTCTCGAGGAGCACCTATCGCTTCTATCTTTCTCCTTTCCTTCAAGTTTATCTTCTCCACCATCATAATCCTCAAACCCGACTACAGTTGCGAGGATGAAAACGAGTCGCGTAATGATGTATTATCTTGACGACGAATCCCATCATCACCAGGGATATGGAGAAACTCTAGCCTCTCCACAATCTAATCTTGAGATTTCGAAGGACTTCAGAGCATCCCAGTTTCCCCAGAGACTTGCGTTTATCTGAGAGAGTCCATTTCAATCGGACTCGGAATGAAGATCCGGCTCATATTGGCCGCGCCGGCAGATAAGAAGCTCAGGGTGGCCGAGTGCTAGGTTTGAGGAGTCCACGTTCCATTGTTGTCCGGGCTACAATTGCGCCCTATCCTTTTCTTAATCGCGGAGGCAAATGCGGAGAACAATTGGCAGTCAACTGCATTACCCTCCCCGGATGTTTCCTCCACATCCAAACGCTCGGTGGAGCTTGGTAGAGCCTACCCTGGCCTATGGTAGCGTGACGTCAAACCAATCGGAGGCAAGATGGTGACAATCGTAGTCTAGGCCGGCCTCGAGAGGCGATTCTCGTATGGCAGAGCTGGAGGCATTTAATGGAGAAAAACCCCTTCTGATTGAGGCTAGGACTCATCATGAACACCGCTCGCGACCTTCTACTGAACCATATCCTCAATTCAAACTCAATGCACCATGTCTGCCTCTCATGGCTCCCATCCCAACTTCAACGTTTCCCAGGAGCTTGGCTTGTCTGATGGGGAGAAGCAAGAGGCTCCTGATGGTACCGCAGCGCATTCGCCTGCGTCTCAGTCTAGAGCGTGCCATGGAGAGGAACGGCAGAAGGAAGAGGGAGCCGATGGGGCGGCTGATGGACGGACCGATGGCAAGGTAGAGTTGAAGGAGAGTGACTGTTATGATAAACTGGGGTTCTCCTATCCATCGTGGAAGAAATGGACAATCTTGACGGTCGTCGTCATGGTTCAGATTTCCATGAACTTCAATGCCAGTTTCTACGCCAGCGGAATCACTCCGATTGCTAAACACTTTCACATTGCAAAACAAGCCGCAAGAGTGGGTCAAATGGACTTCCTCATTGCCTACGGATTCGGTAGCGAGTTCTGGGCTCCCTGGAGTGAAGAGTATGGGAGATGGCCCGTCATGCAACTCAGCCTGTTCTTTGTGAACATATGGCAAATACCATGTGCCCTGGCTCCCAATTTTGGCACCATCGTGGTCTGTCGTGCGTTGGGTGGTCTGTCATCTGCCGGTGGCTCTGTGACACTCGGTATGGTTGCGGATATGTGGGAACCAGATCGGCAACAGTACGCTGTGGCGTACATTGTCTTTGCATCGGTTGCAGGGTCAGTCGTGGCACCCATTGTCGGAGGTTTCGTAACGACTTTTCTGAGCTGGCATTGGAACTTCTGGCTCCAACTCATCCTGGGTGGCTTCGTCCAAGTCGTGCACTTTTGGGTGCCAGAAACGCGCTGCAGCATTCTTGTGACGAGAGAAGCTAGAAAGAGACGCAAGCAGGGAGAGGAGGTGTACAGTGGTGATGAGCTCAAAGGCAAACGGGTTGACCTCAAGTACTTTGCGACTCTCTGGGCTCGTCCGTTCGTTATGTTCATCCGGGAGCCCATTGTGCTATGGCTTTCCCTCCTCAGTGGGTTCAGTGACGCCTTGATCTTCACTTTCCTGCAATCCTACGAACCTGTCTACAAGCAGTGGAATTTCAATACCATCACAATTGGGTTGGCCTTCATTCCGTAAGTCTCTCTCGACGATAACCGCGGAGCAAGTACTTGCTGATTATATAAAAAGGATCATGGTCGGATACATTCTGGCTTGGTTCTCCTTTCTGCCCTGGATTCATCGCCATTGCCGTGTGCTTGAACGAGATCCTGACGCGCTCCAGCCCGAAGTCCGTCTATACTGGTTGCTATGGGGTATGTCTCTTTTCTCTTCTCCATTCGCCTGTCAAACTCACAATGGTATTAGTTGCTCCACTCTTGACGATTGGTCTTTTTGGCTTCGCATGGACCAGTCTAGGTCCCAAGCACCACGTCCACTGGGTAGCGCCGATGATATTTTCCGCCTGCATTGCGATAGCGAATGTAAGTTCTCCTCAAAACTGCTGGACTTGTCTTACCGCAGAGACAGTATTCCATCTATATGGCCACAATCGACTACATGATTGCCTCCTACGGACCATACTCCGCCTCAGCAACCGGCGGCAATGCCCTAGCACGAGACTTCCTGGCAGGCATCGCAGCCATGTATTCCGTTCCAAGTAAGACCAGCACCACTTTTGAAAGATATCCAGGTGCTGTGCTAATAATTGCGAAGTGTACAAATACATGAGCAAATCACTCCCCCTGGAATGGCCTTCCACCCTCCTCGGCTTCCTATCCATCATCTTCATCACCCCGATCTACATCTTCTATTGGAACGGACCTAAGATCCGTGAAAGGTCCAAATTCGCCCAGATTCTCGCGTCCGACAGGAGGAAGGCCGGACGCCGGGTCTCTCAATGCGGTTCTGGCGATGCCGGTCCCGAGGAGTACTACTTTGATCCATGAGACTGGACCGTTTAGTAGTTTGGAATTTGATATCGTAGTTTGACACTCGGAAGTTCTTTTCGTGCGATTTTGTTATATGGCAGCTGAAGGGAGAATTCCAGTAAGTGAGATTGGCGAAAGTAGTGCCAAATGGAACTAACAAGCTTGTGCATTTGAATGCTTGGCCTTTGCATTTCATCTTCGTATTCATTCGATTACACTGCATGATATTCGCATCAGCTTGGCGAATTGTTGACACTAACTCTGATAATTGGGGCGAATTTGATTTCTAGGCGCCTGGTATGGCCATCAATCCAGATTTCGACTTTTCTTTTTCTGGTAGAACCTGACGCTATTCTGATGTGCTTGCACTGACTCGGGGTTGATCTCCGAGATCCGAAACAATCGCTTGCCGGGTATCAACCCGGGATGAAGTTCCAGTACTCGGCGCTTTTGATGACATCACCCATTTGTACTCCGTGTATTGTTGTTGGCCAAGCTGTACTGCACTTATTAGATCTCCTCGGCGACCACGCGTACTCCAATTAGAATCAAGAGGTTCAACAGGACAGTGATGCCGTTTCATATATGTTGTGTATTGCTATGGCGTTGGTATATTCATATCTTGGTCACATCAAAGTCGTTATGGTTGGGGGCGGTCATTCTGGACCAGTATTCGCATCTGTTCCAGCTCTTGATACAGAGTTATGTCTGTATCTGTAGCGGGTAGGCGTTCTGAAAGCCGTGATCGATCGAGCCTCCTCCGAGACTGTGTAAGGCTTCCTATAACGTCAATTTGACGTACGGCCCACCAAGTAACTGCGGTTGACTTCAGTGTGTTGCACGAATGCCGAATCAGTCTCGCAGACAAGCGCTTTAGATTTCTAGGGTGGCCGATAGCAAGCCACTTTGCAGCATCGACCTATCACTGATCCCACAGATTCTGGAGCTTCTGAATTTGTGAACCAGTCGCCCATCCTAGATCAGCTTCGACGCCGCGTAGTAGGTCTCCAATAATCTGACGTTCCTCAGGGCTCTCGAGACACTGCCCCACGGCAAAGAGCAGGGGTATCATGTAGATACGGACACCACCCTGCGGTCTGCCGAGAGCGATGCCACAGATCTCTTTGCAGCGGTAGTCGACCTCTTTCGTCAACTCGCGATAGCCCTGTAACCGGTCAAAGGCGGTGCTCGGTGCGCTGATCACATCCGGTGGACGGTTGAGTAACAATGCAAGGCGGCCAAACTGATACTGCTGCATCGCAGCGGCGCAGGATGTCATGCCGTAGAAGATCTCGGGGAATGGCATTTCGGCGATCTCAGGCAGTTTGGATAGATCCTTTGGGCGAGCAAGACGCAGGCAGGGGCGGAAGGTCTCGGGAATCTTCTCAACCCACGTTTGGAACTCGAAGCAGAGTCTCAACCAAGTCGATGTCGTCGGCTGGGAACGTGGAGATGTGACGGTTGGAGAAGGTGAATTTGTCGGCGGCTGACCGACCCACTGCTCGACCTGGGACCTTTTCGAAGCCGCTAAGAAGTTAAGAACTTTGTTCAGAAGCCAGATTAGACTGTTTGCTGCCAAGTCCTCCCGTTGGAGCATCATTGGGTTTCGAGTCAGTCCACTCTCTAACAGGAGGATTCCTTGATCGTCAATGGGGACGCCGGCGGCTCTCCATAGTGTGAGGCTGTCCGGATCAAAATGTGTCAAAGACCGAGTAAAGTATGCCCCTAGATAGTCGAAGCGAGCCAAGTCAAATAAGCAGGCCGCAATCCCATGTGAAAACTGCGGGGGCTCTGCATGATTGCTGTATATTTGCAAGAGACTATCAAAAGCAGATTTGACACCGCTGAGATGACTGTTCAGAGGGGTTAGCGAAGAACTCGATGGAGGTGGGTTTAATTGTGCAACATACGATTGCCACATTTCTGCGGCTTCATCCAAGAGCTTGTACGTTGTGAGTATGACCGCGGCGGCGAGTAAGTCTTCCACTTTTCTCCAAAAGGTCCCTATGACTGGTTGCTCCGTAGGAGGTCCATGTCCAGTTTGCTGTACTTGAAGGTTCAGCCATCGACTGATCTTCTCCACTGGCGACTCCAGGACGGCTGTGCTAGAGACAGCTGAATAGGCATCGGAGACCGAGGTGTTGATGTGAGACGCGGCAAGATAGTAGTAATTAGCAGCTTTTAGAAACCAGTCCACCTGGGCGGAATTCGGGTACACCTCCATTGTCGGTGGACTGGTAAACAGTCCTCCACTGGCCGGAGATATTACGCCTTTGACTCTTCCAAGATGCTTCGCTGCCAGAGCTGCAATTGCATACTTGAGACAAGGGTCGTCAATCGCGCGAACCGGAACGTATGCTGAAAAGAACTTTCCAGAGTCTGAGATGTCTAGCCTAAGATGAATGAGCACAAAAGGTAGCTGCCTGAGAGAGTCTTTACAAACCAGGGTCCCAGAGTTGCGGAGAAGTGCCTCGTAAGGAATGCAAGCTCGTGCTCGGTACCGGTCATGAGCTCGGAGAATATATCCTGAAACTCCTCTTCCTCGACATGCTGCGAGGGACTCCTTGGAGAGCTCACATGCGTAGCAGCAGTGGATTTCTTGAGCTCGCCATAGACATTATTTCGCTCGGCGAAACCTCCAGCTGCGGACTTATTTGGCGAAAATGAGCTCTGTGCGTTGCTCCGACTGGAAGCACTCTGTTGGTCCGAACCTGCAATTTCGGCTGCCCCAGTCTGTACTGCGGGTTGATTCACAACCTCGGCCATGCCGTCTGTTTGCACGGGTGGGTCTTGCACGGCTGACACTAGCTCATTTGGCGTTGAACGGACCGCTAACTGAGTGACCTCGGCGGTTCCCAAGGCCAAGTTGGTGTGGGACAGACCCTGGTCAGCAGTACTTTGCATCACATTTTGCTCAAATTGATTACTGGCTACCTGTCCTGGTATGAGATGTAACCATAAAGCACAAGGTAAGTATGCAGCACTTACACCCTCCTTCGATTTGGTCGCATGTGGCTTCGAGTGAGCTTCACTGTAAGGTGCATAGCGACGCCTTACAGAAGCACCTTGGTCTATGAACTTGCGAGTTTGGACATAACCAGGGCACTCCACGCCAGCATTGGTACAACGCTGACAGCTTGGCCGCGTTTCGTCGCACTGTAAAGGTCAGGAAATGCGTCTAATCGTCCCACTGCGCTCCTGAACACACCTTGAGATGTCTCTTTTTACAACGCTCGCAAGCCTTGTTGGATGGTACCCCTGGCATTGTCGATCTTTCCTATGCGGCATTCAATATGCGGGAGATGATCTCTTGTAAACGCGACTGAGGGTCTCATCTCAATTCACAGCGACGAAGATGATGAGAAATTTTAGATCGTAGATCAAGGAAAGTGCGTGCTGGGCCAAGAAACAAGGAAAAGCTTAACCGTAAGGGATCTTGAATTCTTGATTGATTATGGACTGGGGCAAGTCAGTGACGTGCGTCGGCTCTCGTTCGGATAAAAGTCGGCAAATCGGCAAATCGTTCGGCATCTCTCACCGCCTGGCAGTATCCGCCTTTTGGCTCCGAGAGGTTCGGCCTTGCTGTTTAGAGCAATTGCATTTTGTAGATTGACTCTATATGAGTATTTCTTTTCGAAAGAAGTGCGCACCTGGTTGATAACATGCTGAGAAGGTTGGCTAGTCAAATGGACCTTAGTCAAGGTCGCGCAGTCCTTGACAGCTCGCCGAACGATAAGATCGCAGTAGACTATGAGGAATTGTTGCGACTGGTCGGCCATCCGGTGCCCTCGAAAGTTGATTCTCATGTGTTTACAGATAATGAAAAGAGCCGTATTTACACGGACTGGATTAGTTAGTTCTCCCTTCTACTCTACAGACTTATGAACCACTAACGTGTACACGTGCTTGCAGAAGCAGGGAAACCTCACAATTTGGTCTGCTCAGAGTGTCGAAGTCCAGATGATTTGATACTTTGCGAGACTTGTTGTAGGTCATATCATGCAAGATGTCTGTCGGATCCTGTTAGAGCTACATCTACAGGCAAATTTTATTGTCCTTCTTGCAGAGATAAGCGATGGGATCTGACGCCGCCTCTAATCAACGCATTGGCGGCTTCACCAGACGTCTCGCGGAGCAGCACACCCGTTCCACATCCAGCTATAATGCATAGTCGCACAGGCGCAGTAGACGTCTTGACAGCACAGTCAAGTCTGCAAAGACCGCCTGTCCATTCTTCGCTGGTTGATAGTCAGCAGCACCAGAATGAGCTCAGTATGGCATCAAACTCCGACATCATGTCTCGAGCTCGACACTTTCTGATTCAGCATGGAAAGTTTCCTACGTCTCAAGATTTTCATCACGAGCTCTTGTCGAATTTGGGGACAATGATCTTGGAGCTAGAGTCCCAACAGTTGCTGCTCCAGGAAATCCAGGACTTGCGAGAGGAAAATGCCAGCTTGAGAAGAGAGGCTTTGAGAACTAAGTATCACTATCCCTCTCGAACGCCGATAAATGAATCTGTCCTCAATTCCCCTTCTCACCTAGCGCCTAGGATCCAGACTCCATCTCCCGACACGGCGGGAAAGTCATGGGACAGAATTGTCATGGATTTGATTTGACCTGTTGGTAAACTTGCTCACGAAATCATATCTTATCATTGCTTACGGTTGATAGCCTTTGTGCGCCCTCGGGAGCTGTACCAGGTCGCATCAGCAGGGTATGCATGCGAACTTTGATGGGAAGTGGAACGGAACTGTCCGTTGCAGAACGACGCCCATCTGCAAGCCATACACCCACCGTTGTGCTCGACAAGTTTTTGAGTCGACATTGAGTCGACATTTGGCCGTGTCCTGAAGAGTCACGTCGCGCATGGTTTGGAGACTGCAATGACCAGAGCCACAAGAGCCACAATTATTGATGCCACACCCTCAGTCGACAGTCCAGACTCCACGCTCAAGCTTGCTTGTCCAGTGCAACTACGACCTGTTGATCGGCGTTGGTGTCCTCTTCCAAGATTAAAGAGCTCACTCGGAACGAAAAGATCAATCTCGCCAAAGTGACACCGGGCACATGCCAGATGCAGTACTGTTGCATTCCTCCGTCTTTCTCCTGTAGATAGCCGGGATTTCAACATTATCTGCTTGCACATCATGCAATGCGGGGGTTAATTTCGCATCGGGAGAGCAAACAGGTTCTGCACAGGCGTCGGTTGGGTTCTTGAAATGATTTCTCCGCACTGCAGCTACTAGTGACTACTAGTTTGAGTATTTATGCCACTGCGTCTTCCCGAAACCCCCTTTGGGAAGTTCTCCCTGCAAATCCCGGCGGCCGGAGCCACTCCGCTGCATGCTTTCTAGCATTTAACAGGAGGGGTGCATCTGGAGCAATGATGATCTCAATGTGATTGCTACATTGTAAGGTTACTACAATGTGACATGAAAAATGAGGGTTTTGACGCGGGGAAGGGGTTTAAACGTTCCTTCCCAGCCACCAGCCCCTGGAATGCTTGGATCCTTTGGACTACATCGTGCACATCGAACCTGAGTTGGTTTATTTCTTCTCCAAAACAGAGGATGCGTCAGTGTTGATTACATTTTGGAAGTCAGATTCCTTCAAAATGGTAGCTTTCTGGTCGAAAGGAGTTCCACTCGCCGTGCTAGGTGCACTAGTCGCATCTCCATTCGTGCATGGTCACCAGAAGAGAGATTCGAACTTTGACGTGTTGGACTATGTTGATCCGTTTATCGGCACGTCAAATGGCGGCCATTCCTTCGCCGGAGCGACTCTGCCCTTTGGCATGGCCAAAGCAGTAGCAGACACGCAAGGCGAGAATCAAGCTGGATTCGCATACGACACCCAGGTCGTGACCGGCTTTAGTCATATGCACGACAGCGGAACTGGTGGATCACCATCCTTGGGCAATTTCCCCCTCTTTGCTCATGCGAGCTGTCCGGGGGATGACCTCAATCAATGCAAGTGGCAGCAGCCTGATCGGGCGGTTGCGTGGGTGCCAAACTCCCCAAAGGCTCGCCCGGGGTATTTTAGCATCGCCTTGGAGAATGGCGTGAATGCCGAGATGACGGCGACGAACCGGTCGGCTCTGTATCGGTTCAAATTCAGCGGCGCCGCCGGACCACTCAGCCCGGTGATTCTAGTCGATTTGATAGATCTGCCCCTGTCCCGCACGAACGGCACCGCCTCGGTGGACCCATCGACAGGGCGATTGACCGGTAACGGCACTTTCAATCCAAGCTTTGGGATAGGCAGCTATGATCTTCATTTCTGCGCTGATTTCAAAGGCGCCGAACTCCGTGACACGGGCGTGTGGATGAAGACCCGGGCGGGTACAAACCAAACGACAGTCTCGGTGACTCCTGATGGGACCAACACCGCGTCGACACTTTCTGCAGGGACTTTCGTCCGATTCCATGCTCCGGTGGACAATACACTTCTGGCCAGGGTTGGAGTGAGCTTCATCAGCGTCGAACAAGCATGTTCCAACGCGGAGAGAGAGCAGCCCGACTTTGACTTTGACGGCACGGTATCTGCGGCCGAGAAAGCATGGAGAGAGAAGCTGGATGTGATTGAGGTTGACGCAGAAGGTGTCTCTGCTGATCTGCAGACCGTGTTCTGGAGCGGAGTGTACCGTACCATGATGAGTCCCCAGGATTACACGGGAGAGAACCCGCTGTGGCAGAGTGAGGAACCGTACTATGACAGCTACTATTGCATCTGGGACTCATATCGCGGGGTGCATCAGTTGCTCACACTGCTAGACCCTCTGTCGCAGTCGCGGATGATCCGAAGTCTGGTAGACATTTACCGCCATGAGGGATATCTCCCTGACTGCCGCATGTCGCTGTGCAAGGGGTTCACCCAGGGAGGGTCCAACGCCGACGTGCTCATCGCCGACGCATACCTGAAGAATGTCAGCGATGTGGACTGGGCTACCGCTTATGAAGCCGTGGTCAAGGACGCGGAAGTTGAGCCATCCAACTGGAATGTGGAAGGCCGAGGAGGCCTCCATAGCTGGAAGACTCTCGGGTATATCCCGACCGATGACTATGATCCGTATGGGATTGGCACGCACACGCGCAGTATCTCGCGGACGGTTGAGTACGCGTATAACGACTTTTGCATTGCGGAGCTAGCCAAGCAGCTGGGCCACGACGCCGACTATGAAAAGTACATTCAACGCTCGTCGAATTGGCAGAACATGTACAAGGCGGATCAGAGGTCGTACATCAATGGGGTGGACACAGGCTTCAGCGGTTTCCTGCAGCCGCGCTACCTGAACGGAACATGGGGATTCCAGGATCCGATCTTTTGCAGTCCGTTGTACAACTTTACCTCGTGCTACCTCAATCCGGCAGGACACGAGACCTACGAGGGGAGCTGCTGGCTCTACACATTGTGAGTTTCCGCCCTTCATTTGTGAAGCTAAAAACAAAGCTGACCGCTGACCGGCTGCCCTTAGCTATGTGCCGCAAGATATGGCCGCTCTCATCACCCGTCTCGGCGGTCCGGAGACATTTACATCACGGCTATCCTATCTGCACGACTCTGGCATTCTCTACGTGGGAGACGAACAAGCTTTCCTGCCTGTTTTCCAATTCCACTACTCCGGCCGGCCAGCGCTCTCCGCCTCGCGAGCACACTTCTACATCCCGTCGCAGTTCAACGCAACCATCCCAGGCATCCCGGGGAATGACGACGGCGGCGCCATGGGCGCATTCGCCGTGCTGAGCATGATGGGCCTCTTCCCGGTCCACGGACAGGACGTCTACCTGATCACCCCGCCATTCTTCAAGGAGGTCAGCATCCGCAACCGCGTGACGGGAAAGGTGGCAACCGTGCGAAACACCAATTTCGACCCCAGCTACAAGGCGATATACATCCAGAGTGCGAAACGCGACGGGAAACCATGGACGAAGAACTGGATCTCGCATGATTTTTTTATGGAAGGGGGCGTTCTGGAACTTGAGCTGGGGGCGGTTGAGAGTGCATGGGGCACGCGGGTGGAGGATTTACCTCCTAGTATGAGCGGCTACGGGGTGTAGATGTAGCAGTGCAGTGCAGATAACCACGCATTAATGGGTATATAACATTTACTTCGTATTCAAATCATAAGACCAGACCAGACCACGACCCGCGTGGTCATTGTTTGTTTCAGTCTACCACTCCAACCGATCATCATGCACCAGCTGCACATCATACCGCTCCTCACCCCTCCACACCCGGCCAGGCTCATTGCACGACGCAATCGCCCTCCGCAGATCGGTTATTAGCCCGGTCGGACCACTAGCAACCACGCGCGTCGGGCCGTGTACCGTCCTCGCCACGAAATCAGTAACATGCGAGGCAACATCGGGATGTCGATCCGTCCCGGCAAAGCCGGCGTCACCGGAGTTGGAGCCCATGAACTGCACACTAAACGGCGCCTCCCCGTCCCGGGAGGTAGTAGACTCAGTCCGCTGGATGGCATTGCTGACGAGCACCTTCTTCTCAAGGTCTTGGACTTGGGTGTCGGCGTCAGCTGCGCCCTCACGCGTGACAAACACCCTAATCCGGAAATTGGCGCACACCTCCGCGGCAGCTCGCAACTCGTCTAGCTCGGCTTTCAGCCACTCCGTATCTGCCTTGCGGCGGATGACCCAGATGAATTCGATCAGTCCACTTCGAGACGCGAAGCCTGTCTGGCGAGAGAGCTGGAGCAGGGCGGGGAGGACGAAAGTCACGCCTGTGCCGCCGGCGACGCAGAGGATGTTGATGTCCTCTTGCAGGAGTTCAGTGCTGAGGATGGACTGGCCGTATGGTCCGGCCAGCACAATCGAGGTTGAGGACTGGTTGCCGCGGGCCAGTAGACCGAGTTGGCGCGTGAGGCCGGTTTTCGCGCGGATGATGTAGGTGTGTGTTTGCTCGCGGCTTTCTGTAGGCACGCTGGAGGGCGTCATGGGGTGGGATTGCCAGATACTCAGGGCTGGGAAGCAGAGGTAGAAGTGCTGCCCGACGGACCAGGGGTGATGCGAGAGGGTGAAGTCTAGTCTGATGACGTCGCTGTCTGTGTCGTTGGGGAAGGAGGTTATCTGCGCTGAGGGGATGTGCATGCGCAGATTGCCAGAGGCGGTGGCGTGCAGCAGGGCCGTCCGCAGGAGACGCATACCTCTATCCAACAGCCAGACTGTCAACGAGGCGATCATCCAGCAGGACAGCATCGCCCAGTGGCCCCAGCAGGCGCCGACGTAGACCATCGCCACGACGTAGTGCGATTTGCGGAAGAATTCGTACCCCGTCAATCGGATGCACCATTTCGCGGAGCAGAAAACCAGGAAAGAAAGCAGAATCATGGCGACGACGCCCCAGATCATGTACTCTTGTGCGATGAACTGGTTCCACGTCGAGGGCTGCGGCTGGTAGAGCTTGCCCTCGATGACGGTCCAGCCGATGGTGTGCAGGGCGGACTGAGCGTAAATAATATATCCGAGCCAGCGGTGGAGGAAGAGGAAGTGGTGGTGGGGGATGCCGGTCAGCAGCGAGAGCAGCGACTCGCGGGTGGATAGGAGGACGGCCAGCGGAGTGAGGGCGTAGGCCAGCACTCCGAGCCGGTCGGCCCAGGGCCCGAGTCCGACGCGGGTCTGCTGCAGGTTGGGATAGCCTTTGACGGGGCTGTACCAGGTTTTGTAGACGATGCCGACAAATGAGAAGACGGTGAGGTAGCCGGTTAGAATGAGCAGGACGAGGATGTTGAAGCCGGTTGTGTGGCCGAATATGCCGGGGAGCCATCCTCGAAGAAGATGACGGTGGTAGACTGATTTGAGGGACTGTTGACAGCGATAGATGAAGCTCTGAGGCTGACTCTTTTCCGTCGCTGCATCTGGAGGGCAAGGATGCGATGTGCGACGAACGGGGATGAGCCGTCTCAAAACGCAGAGTACCAAAACCCCGAGAATTACGCCCCAGAGAATGGCACTGTAGAGAATGGACAGATCGTGCGAGTGATACACCGTGTCGAGATAGTCGCATTTGCCCTTGTCGGCGGTGCATGGGAGTTGGCGGTTATAGTAGCCCCAGTGATGCTCGACCCCAGGGCCGGAATTGGGGATGTCCATATGATGGGCGCGTGAGGAGAGCATCTTGACTGCTGCTGCTGCTGGCAGAGAATTGAGAGTACAGAAAGATGAAAGCCATGAGGGTCTTATACTCGACCGACACAGACAGCAAATCTAGATGCGACAAGAGAGTGGGCTGCCAAGAAGGAAATCTGCTCAAAGGCGTTGCCAAGTTTTCCGCTGGTGGAGATTTCCACTTTTGCTGCTGGAGTGTTTCAGTCGGAGCAATCTGTTCCCCTCTTCAGTATGAGGAACACTGCTCAAAATGGAGAGAATTGGTTCACGTATAGACTCAGTGTCATCAGGTACTCCGGCACATAGATATCTATAAACCATTATGATATCGTGGTTGAATTTGACCATGCCAAGCAAAGAAGAGGATAATGTGCTCAAATGGGATCACATCTCCACTCACTAGTCTGGAGGCAGTGGGTCTTAGGTTTAAGGGCTCAAACAACCGAAGAACAAGAGTGAGATATATCCTATAGACTAAACAGCCCAGAGTCTCGAATCGAGCTCAGACTCAGTCCTCCCCCGCGCACTCCAACCACAATCGCCGTGGCCAAGACCGCCGTCGAGCTGACCGTCAGCACCAGGTTGCGGAATGCCCTCATGTACCGCGGCTTGAGCACTCGTTCCACATTACCCGCGAATTTAGCCGGATCATTCGTCTTGGGAAATGCTTCCGTAGGCACATCTTTTTGTAGAAACTACAACCATCAGCGTCGTCAGAGTACATGAGCAAATGAACTTACCTCGCACAATGGCTCCCATCCATCCTCAACACTCCATTCCAGCAATCGCTGAGGAGGAACCAACCCCCGAATCATGGCGCAATACTCGCGATACACCCATTTCCCGTTCTTCGCGATCGCCGTGCGTACTGACTTCCCACGAAACAACCCCGGATAACCATGCGTGACATACAGCTCCCACAGCCAAAACAAATCCGCACAAAACACCCGCATCATCCACAGGAACCAGCGGTCCCCAATCTCCTCCAGCAGCGTCTTGATCGCACTGCGGTGCCATGCATCCATATCCTTCCTCGTGTTCAAGATCACTAACGCTTCGGGATACGCCTCCACCAGCTCAGCCGCGAAGAACGACGCCGCCGTGTCCACCACTGCATCGCAGTGTCCCAGCAGCGCGTCAAACTCCCCACGCGACACGCGGAACTCCCCGTCCTCCTTCCCGTTCCATTTCGCCCGTGCCAGTTTCGCCCATCCTTCGATGTACCCCGCGTTCTCTTCGAAGGAGATGTCCCACCCGTGGTACGAGGTTAGACCAAGCTTCCCCAGCGCGACGGCCAGGCTCTCCGTGGCGGACCGCGGGAGGCCCACGCAGATCACCTGCATAGGCTTGGTGCGGGTGCGCGCCGGTGGCTTCGGGAGGTTGTAGAGGGTTTCCTTGAGGGTTTCTTTGAGGGTTTCCATTTTGACTGGTCTAGTTGAGAAATGTGCCACAGGATCTGTTTGACTGGTTACATAGGGGTATTTATACGGCTTTGTCGGAGAAATGGTACGATGGAACGTAAGCGGGTTGGTGAGTGTAGCTGCAAGAGGTGTCAGCATTAATGACGATGTAACCATAAACGGTTGGGCTGAATGAGGCTGTCATATTTCCAGCCTCGTGTTACATGGATTTCGGACTGCCCGATGCGGCTGCAGATGGCGGCTGATTGGTGCTCGTATAAGCTGACTGTTGGTTCTTTTGTAAACTATAAGTTTGTTTGCTTAGGGTTCCGTGGTTTCTGGGTAATTCTTTATTCATATTCACTATACATCAAACAAACATTGTCCATTGGCATTCACTGACTTAAGCAAGATGGACAACGGCTCATTCACGCTCTCTGTATATAAGACAGCTCATTCCTCTCCTTCCACCCTTCTCCAACTCTTCTAACTTTCCATCTCTGGAGCATGAAGAGCAGCTTTTTCTTCGATACGATTCATTTCCTAGATTAAATTTCTTATGACTCAATTATATTGAAGTTGTTTTGTGACGCGGATGTTCCTGGTCAACGCCTGTTGATTGGGGGCATATTTTTTGACCTAAGTGAGTTGTCCATAGTCAGCTATTTTATGACTGTACTGACCTTTTGATTCAGTAGCTCTGACGCAGCGACTGAACATGCAGCCCCAGAACTGCTTTGAATATCGTGTCAGGCGGCCGTCCGTTGTGAGCAAATGCTTCCAGCGGAAGACTGTTCAACGTTTCATCCTCACCTCGTCGCTCGACCGTGGCATAACTGGACACAAGAAGACGCAAGGTACGTTGACGGATCGTGGTCAGCATGTTTTGAGCTTCTCCACTGACGTTTATAGACCACTCAATACGACCAGCTCCTGGCTCACGCCGGGCTATGTCTATGGTTACTGCGATTTCTTGAGTTCGACATGGACGCGTGTATTCGCACCAAGACCGAATAAGAGCGATAAACCTGGCAAGAAAAGACATTGCTATGAACGCCGGCTCGGTTCGTCACTGTGACAAGATCAATGGCAACAGCAAACCAGCAGTCGTTCACTCCGATGAAGGCTATGTCCTAACAGACCACAACCCCGTATATGGCTTTACACTATTATTTTCGAGGGGGCTTTCTAAAGACATATGATGGCCCCAGCAGGGACTTGCAACTATGGTTACTGCCCTAAGAGGGTCCAACTGGTTCTTTGATAACATCGAAGATGGAAGATATCTGGTACCTGCCTAAGCCTGGCAGCGGTGGCAGATGATGTCTCTTTCACGATTGATTGACGCCTACATAAGCCAACCCGACTATCTCAGCCCCTGCCGACTGGAGAAGCCAATGGTACGAATTTGTCTGTTCTTCGCGGCATCTGCAGTCGAATCCTCCGACCAACTTCCGTCGGAAAATTGTTACCACCTTCGTTGGTTAATTTGATCGATTTTCACTTACTCGCATCACCATGGCTTACCAACCAAGTAGGCAGGATAAACAGGTTCAACTGAGCCTCCAATTTGGTGATCAGTGCCGGACCCTCGGAATCAGATCCAGGCGTTTTCCGTCTTCGTTTTCGTGCGGCTGCGGATCCTGGTGAGCGACCGACTGTGTAGAGCCATTCCGTGCTTGAGTCGAGTGTTCAATTTCATCCACTCTCAACCAACCAGAATCATTTTCATCATTTTTCTTCCTCGATTCATCCTGCCAGACGAACGCACCGACTTCCATGAGCATGCACCCAGGCTCCGTGCTCGGGAATCAGCGTGGAACAGAGAACATATGAGGGCGCTCGGGGTCATGCCCCTGAACGACTGTCCAATATCCAAGATATACAAAGCCCAGTACCTACCCCAGACGAACGACCCAAGCCTCTGTTCTGTATAACTTCTCCGGTATCCTACATCTCTGATACCAAGGCAGCATTCCGCCAACTCAAACAATGAGCGACCTGTACCCTACAATATCCGTCGACAGGAGAGGGCCATCTTCGAATTTGATTGTCCCCGGTAACAGATATGATGTACCAGATTCAGAAGGACCAAGGGCACTGTAACTCAGAGAATTGCTCCTCGCACCGAGCGCCGAGCAGTTGGTTAGGCTGAGTCCGGTACGCAACATTGCTATCAGAATTCAGAATGGCCAAAGACCAGTGAATCAAGCGCACTCGGACCCTGGGCAGTGGGCACACTCTCCAAGTGAAAGTTGAAATCTGCCTCGACAAACATGCCAACACGCAGACACGGGCTGAGTGATTCGCCCATTGTCAAATGAGAACTCCCATGTATGTCTTGTTCCTTCCGCAGTGGGAACCCAGCGCATCAAGGCCATAATAATTGTTTTCTGTGAGTCCAATTCTACGTCTACTCTCCCTCCACAATCAACTCTAATGTGCTTCGAAAAACCATAGATTCCTTAAAACCGCGCTCCCTTGATACCTCAAGTGAGAATTCACCATTACAATGCCAGTCTTCAAAAATCTTAGCTTTTTTCACTTTTTTTTTTTTTTTTTTTTTTTTTTTTTTTTTTT